AATACAAAATGTCAATCCTGGTATCTATGATGAGTTTATTTATATTAAGAAAAACATTGAGTGAACCAATACTTACAGGTGTTCATGATACATACTAAAGATTTCAATATAGTTATTTATGATATATTAAATGACTTGTATTTACACACTGGTGGAAAACGTTCTGGTCTTTATACATGTTATAATGATATGTAGGTATTCATACACAACGGCGATAGAAAATTTGTATACATCAACTTTCTATGTTTTTTGAAATTTTAGATAAGATCAAATAAGACCAGCAGTTCAATACAATTCACCTATTAACCGATATCAACCATACGAATACACTTGTTGTCTACTTCCGTAGTAAAGTTAGTAAAAATTCGAATCCCATGTAACAAAAATGTTATTCATATAAGAATGATGATTTCTCAGAATTAATTTGAAAGCATTATGAAAAAAACTTCATTTATCAGAACTGGCATCTGGTAAAATCTTCTATGTCGAGAAGGTAATCAATGCTACTGTAAGGGTGGTTAAATATTCATCACCAGTATATCACGTATATCTCTATTTTAAAGTAAACTTTATAAGTTTAAAAATTCTATAAATATGTAATTGATAGTTACAGTTATCGTACGGACGAATAGGTTTTAAGGCAACTGCATGTTATAAATTGTTACAGATTGAATTGTTCTGATTTATTTGAGAATTTGTATCAAGAATTAAAAGAAATTTATAAATTATCTGACTAGAAACATACGAATGTATGAGGTTTGCAAGAAGGTACAAGTGCTTTAATAATTACTGATATTTAAAACTATTGCAAATCAGCATAAACATTGACAAAGAAGAACATATATAAACCACGAAACGTAATATAGTTTACTCGGCCAAAAATGAAAAAAAATAGTATTGTAGACTGACAGTACGATCAAACTGAAAGTCAACATGTTGTATTTTGTTGTTTTCAGAGGTCGGCATTTTTTTTACAGCTACAATTTTCTACAAAATAGGACAAATGAAAAGGTATGAAAAGGTATGATAAAGACCCTTATCTTGCCCTCGTTTCAAAAATAAAAAATCGTCATAAATCTACTAAACAAAATACGTCAGATGTTCGGAAGACATTACACTACCAATCATTGAGTGATGCTAATACTCTATGATTTTCAAGATGTTTAATGATGTGTTTGCATATGATTTATTTATAGTAGTTTGCAAGGTACCGATGTCAATGATACTGGTCTGTAATTTTCGTTAATTCATAGAATTTCATTTTTTGGACGGTGATGTTCATTTGACACCGTCTTACGGTGTTTATATATCACAATTCTTTCGCTTTGCGCGTGTCTGCATTGATGTTTCGGACTTCAATGAGCGTAATCTATGTTTTACTGGTAAATAATTAAGTCCGGGATTTCGTTACCACAAATAACTTAAAACCTTAACTAAATTCTTACATTCATACACAGATTTGGTTTGCAAGTTTGGTTGCACCTGAAGAAAACTTATTTCAAACGGAAAAGCACTTTCTAATTTTTACGGTAATGGTTTTACCGAGCCCGAAAATTTGGATACGATCCGGGTAAACTTGTCGATCCTTTAAATAAGCTTATTCTAAAAGGTTACCAATTCAATACTGTAATTAGATTTTTGAATATTGTTTTTATTGGTATAAATATTGATTTTGGTATCAATATCAATTAAACCCATACTTAACATTATTGTTATACACATAAGTACATTCACGCTACTATTTTGGCAATGCACAAGGTACTGTTTTTCTCTAACTGTTAATGACATCTTTACACTAAATCAATTGGATGTTGGATGTGTACTGATGGATATTTTAGTCTTAGATACATGATTTTTGTTTTAGTTGTCATTGGCTTTAAACTAGCTGTCAGTACTCTCAGATCCTTATTTAGTGTCTTTTTTGTTGTTGGATGTATAGATACACTACCACCTCCGGTCCGCGTTTCTGTTAGATGTTTTCGGCTTTGTATCGATCTGATGAGTAAGGCCCTTTTTAACTGATTTTTATAGTTTGTTCTTATGTTATGCTGTTACACCACTGTCCCCAGTTAGGGGGAAAGGATGGCATTACCAGCAAACTAGTTTAACCCCGCCACATTCTATATGTGTCTGTCCCAAGTCAGGAGCCTGTAGTTCAGTGGTTGTCGTTGGTGCATGTCTGTCATATTTGTTTTTCGTAAATTGTTTTGTCATAAATTAGGCCGTTAGTTTTCTCAATTGAATTGTTTCATATATTTTTCATGTCGGGGCCTTTTATAGCCGATTATGCGGTATGGGTTCTTCTCGTTGTTGAAGGCCGTACGGTTGCCTAGAATTGCTTACCTCTACTTCATTTGAACTTTGTTGGATATTTTTCTCATTGGCAATCATTTCTGTGTCATTTGGTCTCTTGTGGAGAGTTGTCTCATTGGCAATCATACCACATCTTCTTATTTGTAAACCACATCCTCTTGTTTTTATATTAGTCAATCAATCTAATCCAGAATGCCATAAATGTTGCTGCCATCTTAAATACCAAACAGTGCTGGCTGATAATATTCGGAGAATAACCTTAGGTTCTCCCTTACCTTTTCAAAACATGTTTTAGATGAAATGGTGACACCGTTAAAAGAATTTAATGTGTTATGACCCATGATTGATTTTTAAAAGCAATTGTTCAAAAGTCCCTGTAAGGATGTTGATATAATGACATATAATGCAATCACAAACTCGTATTAATCAATCTGTTAACACAAATAAATTTCTTAAATGCTCTATTTCGGGAGTATAGGCATTCATTCGTGTTATTTCTAAGCTTACCAAACACCTAAAAAAAATGAACAATATGGATACTTCACATTTAGTAGAGCATGACTAAAAACTAAGGCCTCACAATCATTATTAAACATTTGAACAATGAAACAAATTCAAAATCAATAATGTAGGTCTTCGGAGCAGAACCTCACATTCTGATTAATACTGAAATGAAATGATGCTTCAGCATCAGCAAACCAAATGTCAATGGTCTAGTATAAGTACTTCTTTATAAACAAGCCTTATCACAAAACTATATACTTTTGAATTTTGGAAAAAATGTTTGTTACTTGTGGAGAATTCTGTTTTGATTATTTTTTTATTGATTCATTCGCAAGTTTGATAGACTTCAATATCTTGGTTTCGTGCATGAATTGTTTTTCTTTCTGGTGGCACTGTCTACGTATTCGTTGCAGATGAGAGAAAACTAAAAAAACGTAGGTGCCTATATATAATATAGACGTTACAGGTAGTAATAAAAAAAGATTTAGGAAGAGTGTCAATAATAATGTTCACCTATTTTGGAAGAATTCAATTAGTAATATTACAGATGATAAAAGAGATGTTTGCATTATTTTTTCGATTTTCAGTTATAGTTCAACGAGCCAAAGTTGTATGCAAAAATTTAGAAAAATCTGTGACATAGCCCATTTACTTTTCCTTGACCTTAAATACCAAATAAGTGGCTGCCAGAGTGACAACAAACCGGATTTTTCTGCATAAAAATCTGTTCCCCCAAACAGGATTAAATTAAAAAAAAAATAATAAATAAATGCATTTTTGTAGGATTCAGAAATGGAAAGACCAAAATCAATCTAAGTACCACTTTTCACTACTTAATGTCTACAACTCGATAACGATAAAAGCTAAAATCGTGTAAATCAGTATAGACCTTTATTTAGTCACAGGAAACAACATATCTAAATTTGAAAAGATTTCGTCAAAGCGTTTTCAAGTTATTGCACGGACCATGCTCTAGGTAACACTTTTCGCTACTTAAAGGTCTACAATTCGACAACGATAAAAGCTAAAATCGTGAAAATCAGTATAGACCTTTATTTAGTCACAGGAAACAACATATCTAAATTTGAAAAGATTTCGTCAAAGCGTTTTCAAGTTATTGCACAGTTAACGCTCTAAGATCACTTTTCGCTACTTAAAGGTCTACAACTCAACAACGATAAAAGCTAAAATCCTGAATAACAAACTTCACCTTTGTTAAGTCACAGGAAACAACAAATCTTAATTTGAAAAGATTTCGTCAAAGCGTTTTCAAGTTATTGCATGGACAACGCTCTAAGTGTCACATTTCGCCTCTTAAAGGTCTACAACCAAACAACGATAAAAGTAAAGTGAGCTTGACCTTCGTTTTGTCATAGAAAACAACATATTTAAATTTGAAAAAATTTCGTCACAGCGTTTTCAAGTTAATGCACGGACACTGTTTAGCAGCCGCCCGACCGCCGTACATCACCAAATTAATAACCGACTTTTCCTTCGGAAATCCAGTTAAAAAGTAAAATATTTGTTCGAAATGCATTTTTTGTCGCATATGACTCAAAGCTGCTCCTAACCTGAAAAAAAATAATAATATAGTCTATCAATTTATAGTTTATAGCCTAGATGCATCAAAAAACCCAACTACAAATTGACAATGAGGGTCAGTCGATAACTATATAAATATGAGATTGTTTCAATATAACCTTTGTGAACATTCCGTTTCCATGCGACAAATTTCCATCAGAACCCGCATGTGGAGTATATTTATTTCGCAGTGGACACGATATTCAAGGGCTTGTTTTACTATTGTGATTTCCAGATGGAGGGTTACTGCTTACAAGGAATCTATTGAACCAAAGGGTCTCAATTGTAAAGCTGGTGTAAACTCTACTTCAGTTATATGGACGTCATCATGATTTGGTAGACATGAACGGAATATCTCTGAATATCTTTGATCCACAAATCTGTCTTTTTGTTCGTTTGTGACATCACCAAAAATGAATGATCACCAGATGTGTACTTGCTATAATAAGAAAACAAGGTCCAGTATTGGAGCAGGAACTGCAATAAACCCTTCCGGAGCACCATAATTCATTATGATTTTTATCTTGTATATTTTTTTCTTTACCATCTCTCTTCAACCTCGCTATGCTATCCCTCTCTCTCAAACAAAAACAAATACAATCTTCAAATTATAAAGGACATTTATTAACTCAACGAATGAATAAAACTCAGCCTCACGTCATCCAGAAAGACTTGTTTTTCATTCCACATTTTAAGATTCAAAATATAAAAAAAAATTATTTGAGCATAAGATAAAATCTTTTATTTTGTGTGTAATGTAATGGGTACACTAGAAACAATATAAGATGATGAAAATAAATGTTGAAAACTCTTGTTTCTTTTTCTGATTATATATATAAAAAGACCATATTTGTAAAAAGTAACCTTGATGTAAGGTTGATATTGTGCAAAGGCTATCAAGGTCAGTGATTTTCTAGGCTGATATAAATGCTTACCATTATGCCGGATATATACTCCTGAAATAAATATTTTTCTGTGATAATCAAAACATGTAGTAGCTATGTGTATTCATGTCAGAACCTTTTCTGGATAATTTTTGACGATTTGAAAACAAGTTTGTGCAATACATGTTGTTTACTGGACAACTTTAACATTCTTTCAATAACATTCTGATCATATTTGTAACTAACTAAATTTTGGCCACATTTGTATGCTACTATTTGACCGATTGTATGCTTATATTTCACCAGTTTGTACGCTACTATCTGACCAATGTGTATGCTGGCATTTGATATAGGATTTGACCACATTTTATATTATGGTTTGACCACATTCTTATATAATGGTTTGTTTTAATGTTTTTATTATGGTTTGATAATATTTTTATATTATGGTTTGACCACAGTTTTAAACTGACAAAATTGAAAATAGAGTCTTGGTAACAGTTTGCTATATAATTGGTCAAATGTATGATGTAGTGTTAAAGATTTTATTGAGGGATAATGGACAACTTCCACCAACACTGTTTATCTGTACATATGAATATGCATTCAGAACTCTACAAATAATTATCCTTTTGAATATATTGTAGAACCTACTTTTATCAGATTTTATTTCAATGCCTATTAAAAAAAATAAAACGATAAGGAGTCATAATCAACGTCAGTCAGAATAAAAAAAACTTCTATAGAAAAAATGTAAAACAGGAATGGAACAAGATTTTTTTGCACCAAGGATGATATTATAAGGATATTGAAGAAACACATTTTTAGTTACCTTAGGGACTTTCCGATTGAATTTTCCTCGGAGTTCAGTATTTTTGTGATTTTTATTTTTTTTTATAAATAAGGGAAACAAACGCCAAATAAATATGGAAATTATAAGAGCACCACCTTCCTTGTCTAATGAACATGAGCTTTTAAATAAAAACTGATTCGTAAAATAATAAATTAATATCAACTTGAAAATAACATATTTACATTTTATACCCGTTTGAAATTAAAATACTCAAAACTTATGTAAAGGTAAGTTAAACAAATGTACACAAAACTTGTAAAAAATCAAGTAAAAATCAGGCTGTCCTACCTGGAAGCCATCATAGGCATTACAAGACTAGTTATGACATGAACACATCGGTGATGGCTTGTACCAGTTAACTTGGTGTGATAAGAAAACCATGATACTATTAGCATCATTTCAAAATTTCTCTACACATCCTGACTTATCTGATACAAGTTGTGAATAATATGGTTTCCCAATATTTCTTCACTATTTATCTGCCATTAATGTTTCTTTCGAATCTTTGGAATAATGATATAAAATAGCTACAAAGCTATATGTAACATTTCAATACAATATGTACACTAAAAGTTTTAATCATATGAATATAAATTTACAGGAATGGTGAGATTTATATTATTGCACTTACCGGTATAATTTTTTAATAATTATTCATAACCACAAAAAATATTATATAAATCAAAAATTTCTAATACTGATAAAATCAATAAATGCATTTCTTTTAATTCTATAAATATATTTTAAAAAAATCATATTCATATAATGGCAGAGTAAATTGTAAGTGGCACATATCACATGCTTACATTTTACAGAGCTATCAGAAATATTTGGGAGAACACTGTGTGAGCAAAAAAAAATCACATTCAATAATAAAGACATAAGGTTTTAAAAAAATGACAAAATTACGTTATCTTAATTTAACTCATAGCTCTAGTTGGAATCTACCAATCAAGAATTAAAATCGATGGGGATCATATGAACTCCACATTGAAGCGAAAAAAAGACGCATTGATAGGGTAAGTATCCCCTGACACATGTATCCAGATTTAGTTATAATTTCAAGATTGGGGAAAAGGACATAATCAGTAAATTATCAGATGCACAACTTGGTTTCCAATACAATTATCCTTTGCAGACAAATGGGCAATCATATGAAATTATTTTGTGCTAAGAATATATAATACAACAATATACAACATTATACTAGCAAACGATGTTTGGTATATTTCAATAAGACAACAACCTACCTACATGTACAAATTACAGTTAGGGTTCCAAATAAGTTATGCAACAATAGACTGGTGTCTCTTCAATATGAAGAAGACTTTAGAATGCTCTATATTGAATAAACTGTAAAAATGTAGGCAAACAATAATATATTCAATTTTTGATATCATTACTTTTCTACACTTGAAAAGGGTACAAGTACATGAAAATAGTATGAATTCTATACTACAAATGGGATATTCAACGACATTTACTACCTATGAAATGTTTGCGTAGTCGGATCAATACTAAACATTGATTGACTACTTATAAGAGTGAGTAGCAAGTTTGTTATTACTGAGGTACTAAGTATTGCTTAAGAAAATGCTGGGAGACAACAATCTTGTTATTTCCTAATTAAACAGCCATTAAGTCCATGTTCATACAGCACAAGACAAACTTCAATGATATCTATACACATCACATGGCAATCAAAAAATAGTCACATATATACACATGATGAATGAGAACGCATTTTGTTTATACTGTGCTAATAGTAAATATTTCAGTTACTGTATTCAAAACCATACATATCTCTTTTCTGATATTTTCACGAATATGATTGGTGGCAACTAAAAATATATTACTGTACACCAAAGTAAAGCTTGGATGAAAAAGATGAGGACAGAACTTTACTTTAGATCTATAAAATATAATTTTTCATATTCATTTTTCTTTCTTTTTCTAATCTTTAAAACTGTTCCTGGTTAGTTATTTTGTTAATTTGAAAACAGACTAAGATGATGAGTGCAGACACATTTTTAGCTTAACATTTTAATTGGTCTAATGATAAAAAGATTTTTGAAAATGAGGATTCAGCTTGCCTAACTTTCTTTCTTGTTTTTAATATTTCTGAAAGTGACTGTCAAGTGTTCTGAAAATTTATATGTTTTTATTAACAATGTAGGAAGTGCAATAAATCAAGGGATGTAAAAAGCAATTAATCATGACAGTATTAAAATTCATACTCAATATTGTGTAAATGAACAAACATTTGACTACAATTTGTCAAATTTAACAACTGTAGGCCCATCATAATAATAATGTTTTTTTTTCTGGTGGTTGGACTTGTCAGACTGTCAATTCTCATGAAACAGTTCAAATGTATCTACTGCTTTTTAATAACAAGAAATTGTCATCATTTTCTACATAAGAGCAGGATTTTCCAGTGTGCAGTGATAAGTAAATTCCCAGTTAAAAGGTGACAAATATGGCTGCATTCAAAACATACCCGTATTTGAAATGATCAGTCTACACTACATAAGATGTTTTGAATTTCAAGCTGAAAATGATCTTCAGTGCATAGAAACGTTTGCTTTATGGCTAATCGCCTTCAAAATCTTTGCATCAATCTGGATTCTGGTTAAAATTATCGATACTAGTTACTTGTTAGATGCATCACAATGATCATTTCAAAGATTCAACTCAATTTGTAAGGCAAATAACACAGTAGTGAATATATATTATTATTATTATCTATTACATCAGTTCATATTAAAGCATTGCTGCAAGCGTATCAAAATTAAAACTTATTTTGGCATGGTGCATAATTATGTGTTTCAGCAAATTTTATGAAGGTCATGTCAAATCAAAGAAGTCTATGACATTAAAACTATTGTTGTCATTCAGCAATTTGCACTGAGGTGTCAGACATTTTTTGGCAACATCAAAACTATAGGAATATCTGAGATAACCATATAATAAACATATATAGATGCAAATATCAATAATAATGAATGATAAACATATATACAGCTGCAAAATATATATAAAAAACACCAGTTACTCACAGTAAATAAACAAACAAACAATCCAATATTAATACCATGTTATAAAGAACATAAAAATCATTTCTTTAATCATACACATAGTTATTTCTTATATTTGACACATTTTTTAAATAAGTAAATACACAGTAATGATTTATAAGTATATTACCAAGATTCCAAAAACATTAATGGCAGATATGCTACTACATGACTTGGTTATTTAAACTGGACTTTGACCGAACCTTTGATTTCTGACCTACATACTGGACATGATTTCAGGGCTGGGGCACATTGGGAACAGGACGATAAATGACCACAGGGTAAAATCACAATAGATACAGGCATTTCACAACAAATCTTGCACTGTGTCTGTTCTTTCATTTCTTTGTTTTCCTCTGCTATTTTCTTTACATTATCTATTGAAAAAAACAACAATAAACAATTTAACTTGAGGATATGTCTATCTTTCACTTGTTAGGAGCCAATGAAAATATCGTGATTTTGAATCACATTGCAGGATAGGCTAACCAAATTAACGAATTCATATCACAATACGTTCAATGTGATACAACAAATATCTCTTCACACTGGAAACAGATAGCAAATAACAACCATAAGAGAAAAAAAATTACAAGATATTCTGTACGCTGTCTTTTATTAAGTGTTTGCTTTTAAATGGTTTGTCATTCTAGTTTTAAGAAAAGGGATACACTATTGCTATATTTTTTCTACTCAGACCACAATCCGTGAAAATTACTCCAATTGAACCTGAAAATCTTGCACTTAGTTCTGTTAAATCAATAAATGATGGAAGTGACAACACTTTACATTTTTTTTTTATAAATTTTTCAAAACATTTTAATGAAAAAAAGATAGTTGTTACAATGATATAAGATGGTGAATTTTCACCATCACCAGAAATCTGTTTCACAATGAGTGATTTTGACTGATTCATATTTCAATACTGTCTAATAATGTTTTTATTTTTTCGTTATATCATAAATGTAAGAAAATGTGTTATTCTAAAGCCTATTTAGGAAGTCACTAACCTTTCGAAAGAATTTTTCTACTCTTCATGCTTACTACAGAATGTTTAAGCTTAGAACTTATCGGTACAATTAATTCTGACTTTGCTATTTCACCACTCTCTTCTATTTTGTTAATCTCTTCCATTAAATTCCTCGCTGACATTCCATTCCAGCCTAAATTCAATATATGAATAACATACAAATTAAGAAAATTCCAACAAGTCTCTAATGTACCTGTTAAAAAGTTATAAAAATAGAGAACTAAGAGTAATGGATGTTTTTGCCATTGTCAAGCATTTTACCTGAAGAGGATAGAGACAGTTAGTCCTATAAAAGAGGGACGAAAGATACCAAAGGAACAGTCAAACTTATAGATCGAAAACAAACTGACAACACCATGGCCAAAAACAAAAAGACAAACAGACAAATAATAGTAAAGATGACTCAACACAGAACACTAAAGACTAGCAACACGAACCCCACCAAAAACTGGGGGTGATCTCAGGTCCTCCGGAAGGGTAAGCAGATCCTGCTCCACATGTGGCACCCGTCGTGTTGCTTATGTTATTACAAATCCGGTAAAAAGTCTAATTCGGTAAGTCACATTCGTGAAAAGGGAAGGGTATTGTAGTTACGACATAAGGAACATATCCGATATCATCTGTGAAACGGTTATTCCATAACGGTCAACCAACTCGTGATGGCATCCGTAAAATTTACGAAGGGATGATTTCAACTTCACTATTTAGAATCTTGGTTTAATAGCTTCCTTGTGAGCAGCAATCCTCTATCAAGGAAATCATGATAGGAAATACAAGCCCGGGAATATCGTATCAATTGGGAGATGAATACTCCGTATGCAGGCGCTGCTGGAATGTTGCTACATAGACATGGAAAGTTCACAATTGGGAAGCTGAAATCATCTCTTTTGTCGTAAAGTTTTGTTTTCAACTGACCCTCATTGTCAATTTCTAGAAACACGTCCTCCAAACGTAACAAATATGTTGTCAATCAAGAAATCAAGCATCTTGATAATGTCAGTTTCAGAGAATTTTTTGTTTGAATAAAAAATATTATCAAGATATATGACTTGATGACTATTAAAAGTTTGCTTACAAGAAAGCTTTCTAAGAACGTCAACAGTAAAAGAATATTATCAGGTAAATTGTCTTATGTTTGTTGAGGTCAACAAATAAGACTATTGCCCTATAGCTATTTATAATAAATAAACAGAAAGTGAAGCTAAACATGCTTTTATCTGCACATAAAAACTAAAAGCAATTTTTATAAAGTTGCAGTAAAGTTTTTTTTCTAAATCTACTTCAGTTCTTGATTATACAACGTGCATTACTCAGTTTATGGACATGAATAACTACTAAAAACTATATTATTTAAAAAGAAACTAAGGGAGAGTTGAAAATCTTGCTGAAACATTGTTTTTGGTCTTTGCAAGGTGAATATTTTTGTTACATCTAAATAAAGTTGTTTAATTTATCTATGAAATCATTTTAGAATACTCTTTAAAAATGGGTTTAAATTTCTTATCTCAAAAAGTAAGAAGGGAATCTGCTTTATTATAAGAAAGTAAAACTGTAGTGTTTATACATCATATGACTCCATTTTATTAGTATCTTGATCTCCATCACCAAAAAGTTTAATGACATTTTTACACAAAATCAATATCCTTGAGATGTTTGACTGACTGTGTGAACATTTACAACCTTAACATTTCCCATACAATCAGCAAACATTCAGAAAGAAGGATATTAAGTAATTATTACTTTACCTGATGTGCTGACTGTTTGTCAATCCATCGCTTTAAGGTAATATATTTCAATGAGAAGAAATTTCATAAAGAATAAACATCCAGTGTTTTCATGAAATATGAGCATAGAAACACATTTTCTGCATGATACAAAAAATAGCAGTAATAACTTGGTTAGAAAAAAAAGTATATGCTCAAATAAATCAAATTGCCACTAAAATCTAAGTATGGTTTCTGATTATTTGCAACGAAGCTATAAGACTGGCAGCCAAAAAAAATTAAAGCTTTGCCATTTCCTTTACTGAATTAAAGTCTTGTCGGCATTACAAACTAGTAAACAGTAAGTTTCACTTTTGAGATGATTTGCTGCACAGGTCATAACTAGCCAAACTGAAAATTTAATTATGGACCAGCTTAAGTTTCAACTTTTCACTACTAATTAAGTGTTTCCTTAACTTCAGAAATAAGTTTTGGACTGCTTTGATTCTTTTCTTGTATAGTTACATGTATTTCTTAGATAGAAGTTGCAGAAACAATCTGGTTTAAAAATTATAAAAATAATTCTTTTAACCTTTAAAAAGCTTTAATCCCTAGCATGCATGCAGAAATTTAGCTCTCATTCCTCTGATCAATTTTGGAGTTTACCTTTCTCTTTCAAAACTCTATCAATAACTATTCTAATAACTTTTGGTAAATATCCCATTGTTAGTATACTCTGAGCTGCATCTGTCAGCAAAGGGTTTTTCTTCTCTGCTTTTTTAGGAGGTTTCCCACTTGGTAAAAAATCTATATATAGACAAAAATATAAATAAATTGATATACAACACTGTTATAAAGAAATATCAAACTCCTTTAATTGTCTTCTGGTCATTTAATAGGTAAGACTAGTGAACAGCTGAAATGTTACCTAAAGTATAGGTCACACCATTTAGTTTATTGTACTTCTTAGACCTACACTCCAAAAAAAGGAGCGAGCAAGGAAAAATTTAAATAATTTTTTTTTCCCCAAAATTATGTTTTCAGTGGCAAAATAATTTTCTTCTAGTCAGCAAAGATGTTTTTTTAAATAATTTTATTTGAATTATTAATTAAGAGAGCGGCATTATTTAAAATATATTGAACAAGAGGCTGTCAGATTTCCTGCAGAGGTTGAACCCTGAAGAGTTGAGCTAATATGGACACTACATTTACGCTCAAAACAGCTCTGAATTTGGATTGTGATTGAATATTTAACACAGCATAGGTTTGTAACAAAAAAAAAATGAATGTTAGAATCAGCATATGAAAGAACCTTGAAATTTCAATTTTTGATGAAATCAATCAAAAAGTTTAATTTTGGACCCTTTGGACCTCAATGTGGACCAATTTGATCAAGGAGCCCACAATCCAAAATCTCTAAATTCATGGTTAGATTCAGCATTTCAAAAACCCCATAAATTCATTTTTTGTTGAATCAAACAAAGTTTAATTTTGGACCCTGATTTAGACCAACTTAAATACTGGGCCCAAAATTCTAATATTCAAATACAGGTTTAGATTCAGCATATGAAAGAACCCCTTTATATATCTAATTTATGTTAAAATGAAACACAAGATAATGTTATCCATATACATGTAATCTTCTGTTTATAGGGAAATAACTTAAACTCAAAATGATAAACACATAGTTCTCTTAAGTTATATATGATTTTACCACTACAAAAAAGTTCTCTAAAATTAGATATGATGTTATATATATTCATTTTCAAATTATAATTAATAGAATTAGATATGGTTTAACCACTATAACATTGTTAGAATCAGCATATCAGGAATTCAATTTTTGATGAAATTTAACCAAAATCAGAAATCTAAATATATGTTTATTAATTGACAAATTAAGCTTATTATTTGAAGGCGTTCACTAAATCAAAAAATATATATATATATATATATATAGCATTCAGAAAATTAGTTTATACAGAATAACAAACAAACCTACCACGAAATTCTTCAAAAAATCAAAAATGTCATTTATCATTAATACAATGTCTTTAAAAATCTATAAAACTTATCTGTAAGTGTAATCAAACTTTAACCATTTCTGTTCAAAAGGAAATAACTCAATCACATAATAAGTACCACTTTTTACTATTGGAAAGGGAAATAACTCAACAACGAGAAAAGCTAAAATCTTGAAAATTGAACTTGACCTTCATTTAGTCACAGAAAACAACATATCAAAATTTGAAAAAAATTCTTGAAATCCTTTTCATTTTAACGAACGGACACTGTTTGGCAGCCGCCAACAGACCGGCCGGCCGCCCGCACGCCCGCCCGCAGTTCATCCCCAAATCAATAACCTATTTTTCCTTCGAAAATCCGGTTAAAAACAATAATGAACAGATTTTTATTCAAGCAAGCAACAGTGTTTTACAACACAATGAGAATGATACTTAATATATATTTAGCATTGCCTTAATCAAATTAACTGATATCTTCTCAAATCAGCGATTTTGTAAATGAATAAGTTGGTAATATAAACCTCTGCCTTTGTCCTCTGATCTAGCAATTCCATCTTCTTCACAGTCACTATTGTGACTATCGAAAGTTTGTGCTATGCCATCTGTATTCAAGGCCTCCTCCTGATAAATAAAAACAATAACATTTAATATTTTTTCTGAATGATAGACAGATATCATATACTCAAACATGCCAAAGGACACTGGATAATTTTTTATACAATGTAATGATACAAAGTAAGATATATAACTTTTTCACTGAACATTTTTACATTTTTGTTGTTGTTTTCTTTAAAAAAAAATGCCTTGAATTGCAAATTTCTTTCTGGTCGATGAGCATTCACTACTTACAGTTTATAATTGCGACATTGACATCTTATTTTTATGAAAGCACAAAACAAATTTGCTGTGAGTATCCATGGGGACGTTTTTCTGATTGTTTGAATAGCATTTGTTTCTTGAAATATATTTTGCAGATGTCATTGTTCTGTTGTTAGCTGTCTTATTGGCATATACTTCTCGTCTCTTTTGATTCATATTCACTTGAATATCTGCATAACAGACTTAACAAAAACGTAAAAGTACACATAACAGTTCACAATTTCCTGTTTTAATCGATAACTCGAGCTCTTTATATTTGTGAACGTAGTAAAATATTAATAGTCGAAACATGCATAAAAGGAAATAAAAGGAAATACAAAGAAAGCTCAGATGACAATATTTAAAGTTAATCACCAGTTGTACTCTTCTGACAGCATCTTGTACTGTTGCAATGAAATCCAAGCCTTTCTTGTCCTTGAGAAACTGGCATTCTTGGGACCACCTAGCATGTTCTACAAAAGGATTGTCCTCAGAGTCCCAATTCTGTAGTCCAATACCACAGTGAAAACATCTCACATGATCATTGTTGCCTGAAATCAGTACTTCAATTGTTTCTATTTCTATTGTGACGAATACTTCTCAGTCAACCTATTTTTCTTCATAAAAATTCAAAATCCTGCTACAAATTTACAAATCTGAAGGTAAACATTTAGAAGTTTGTCACACCTATCAAGCCTACATGTATATAAGCCACATCTTAGAGTAAAACAATTTTTATACACATTAACAATGGTATATTTATCTATTTATAGCAAAGTCAGCTATCTTGGTTATTTCATGTATAGACAGGATTTATAATCTTTGGTAAGCATAAATGGTTAAATGTGATAGTAATACACAAACAACTGATTTCCAAAAGTTCTCCGTAAAGAATGTACAGGATAAGTTAACACATGTGTCACATTATATAAACAAGATCAAAATTGAGAAAGTGGGAATCAATTTTTCCAAATACATTAAGTGCTATTTTTAATCTATTTTTGGAAATACCAAATTTTAAAAGACAACACATTTAAATACCATTCTTATCAAGATGTCAAAGCTATAACAGGTAGGTCTAATTAATTCCGCATTTTTATCTATTTACAAAATGTATTTAAAGGTTTACAATTTGGAATCACTTTTAGAGATTGGTAAATAAAAAAAGATACATGATTGAACAAATTTAGTTTAACTTACATTCATGTTTTATATGATTAACAACTTAATTTGGATTTGACATGTTTGAAGTTGTTTGTATTTTGGTTTGAGAAATAAACATGATAAATGCAATTAATAGTGAAAGCGCTTTAAAATTTAAAACTTTTTACCCATACAGTGTAGTTTCTTTTGATGCCAAAGAAAATGTTCAATGATATTTAACAAGAATTATAAATATCAGCTGATTTAAAGTCATATGAAACGAGTGACTGTTGAAAAAAAAAGTTAATCCATTTCCTGAACCAATGAATGCATATATCATAAACTTAGTCTTCTGTGCATGATTTTATCATTTTTTACGCATCCATTTCGTATAATCGTCAAAAAAGTCTTTCACTCGGTCAGGGTTGTTGTGAAAATATGGCAGCTAATTAATGGTCGTGTTTTGAAGCCGAAGTTTACCGAATGTCACCTTTGTAAACAATCAACAAAGAAGCATGGATATTCAGGTAAGCACGTGTATAACATGTACAATACAATATAGATTATTTCGATGACGGAGCGCTGTTTACGTTTGTTGACTCTCTCTGCCAATTTGGTTTCCCCTTCGCACATGCGTAATTGCGATCACCAGATTTTTACGAGAAAGGTCACTGCATACGGAAAACATGTCGGCAAATTGTTGGCTGGAAGCAAACAATTCAGAAAAAGTAAATTTCTCAAAATTTGGACAAACTAAGGAATTTTCTTTAGAAAAAAGTATATGTATAGAAGTTTTATAATGAAAACTAGCCATTTAGTTATAAAAAACATGTGCATCATTTTAAAAAAAAATTGTATATTTGTCACAGCAGGACCTGTTAAGTAAAAACAAAGTTTTGTATACCTGTATAGTAAAACCCAGCCTCTGCCATAGTTTCTGGATGTTGTTGTATACTGGTTGGCCATGATTGAAATGTTGACAATCTTATACATGTAATTGAGTATTGTGGATATTTAGGTCCTCGTCTCGAGTTGTGAGAACTGTTTAATGTTGTAGTCCTACTACTATCTGTTTCACTTCGTGTATTTTGATTAAAAAAGTCTCCAACGTTTCCAGTAAAACTCAGACTTCCATTCCTGTATGTGCCTGGTAGATCATTTCTACTGAACCATGCCTTTGCTATGTCATTCATTCTATTCATAAGTATTCACATTCTGAAAAATAAAAAAAAAATGGGGAATCTGTTTATGGGACACAAATAATGCCCCCGCTTGTATATAACGTTATAAAGGGACATAACTCAAGAACTGTAAAAGTGACGCTACCCAAATCTGTACTTGATCTGAGTTTTGTGGTAATAAGAATTGTTATTAAGTTTCATAACATTTAGTTTAGGCAAACTTAAGATAGAGAACGGAAATTAAAAAAGCAATTGTTGCATTTGTAAAGGGGCATAACTCTAGAATGGTAAAAGTGACGCCACCAATGTTCTATTGAATATGTCATTTTAGTGTTTCTGTTGTGTCTTTGTTCTCCTCTTATATTTGATGTGTTTCCCTCAGTTTTAGTTTCTAACCCGGATTTGTTTTTTTCTCAATCGATTTATGAATTTCGAACAGCGGTATACTACTGTTGCCTTTATTCATAACATTTGGTTGAGTCAAACTATGTTAGAGAACGGAAACGAAAAATTCAGCAATTTTTTTATTTGTTAAGAGCATAACTTTAGAACAGTAAAAGTGACGCCACCAAAATTCGAACTTGATCTGTGTTATGTGGCAACAAGCATTTTGTATAGGTTTCATAACATTTGGTTAAAGTTAGAGAACGTTAACCAAATTTGGGACGTACGGACGTACGTATGTACGTAAGTACGTACAGACGGGCATGGGAAAAACTTAATGCCCCCTCCTCTACGGTGGGGGCATAAAATCAAATGTACAAGATTATCTAAAGGAATTTATTCACATGCATTATAGACATTTTTTTAAAGAAAGACTTTGAATAATATGAGATTTGTGGCAATTTGAAAATAAGACGGAAACCAAACAACAATAGTATACCCAAAATACTTTCCTTTCAAATCTGTAATATGTCATGTATATAGTTATGTTCTAGCGTTAAATAATTGCATGAATTAATAATGACCCCCTCCAATATTAAATTTTCTATTAATTATACATACTTGTTCATGTTGTGAAACACATGGTGATTTTCTAACATTTATTTTGAAAGATTGTGCAGATTATTTTATATACCTTATTTACAAGTGGTGATATAACAAAAAATAATAAAGACGCAAATAAAATTAAGTATTATGTAAACAAGGATTATGAAGACGCAAATAAATTAAGTATTTTGTAAAAGTTCTTTATATCCTGAGCTAAAAAAAGTTTGAGTGGATTTTCCCTAGCTATATTTAAATGAAAATTTCAATAAGACCAAATTTAGAACTTACATCATAACTTTTGTATACTTAAAAGTAGGAGGAGCTAGTCAATCTAAATTTTGATTGGCTGATAATGACAACTGTACATGGATAGTATAGCGTAAAATTTCATTCAATTGATAAGCTCTAGAGAAGGAATAAGCAATTACAAGAAGATAAAAATAGTCAAGTGATAATGAAAAATAAATATTCAATACATTGGAGCTAGACAATCACTTGAGAGTTTACACAACATTCACACTCTGAATCATATATCAGTTTAATGAGTTTAAAAATACTGAGAGATTATCCTTTTAACAGGTATCCTATTGTACTACTATAAGATAATCTATTCTCATGATTTATGTATGGATATATGCCAATTCTTGGATTTTTTTCAGATTTATTAAAAGGATGAGCACTTCTAAACGGTCCCCCTTGGCATTGAAATGCTGCATTTCTTTTTTTTTTTTTTTTATTGTACTTTCACATACTATGCTCTAACTTCAGAAATTGTTGGAGGCATTATTGCAATCTAATAAAAGATGCAAGATTTATTATTGCTATTTCAGACGCCCGGTATTTACGTTTGACGCCGGAAGCATACCTATGACGTCATATAGTTTAGGGCTAAAGAAGAGAACATCATTTCGCGAAATTTTTGTTTAATGAAAATTTTAAACTGAAATAATGACTAAAATTGAATTGTGTATTTATTTTGCGTCGCCAGGTAAACTCAATTTGCGACAGTAAAACTACCGATGGACGTCAGCAAAGCTTCAAATACAGTTATCTCTTAATTATTGCGATTTCAGAAAAAGCTTCATACTGATATATTCAGAAATCTAGTTCTTATTATTGTAATACTCACACTGTCTTATTTCTTATTAGTTTACTAGATCTGTGGTCAGATTTGGTAAAAATTAAGCAGTTTAAAATACAAGTTGAAGCTATAATTATATCCACAGTGGACAAAAAGAAATGAAAAAAATCAAAATGCTAGTTGGACAGCCATGTTGTCAAGTTTGGATAGGCTTAATATATGACTGTCATTAATATTTGTGATAACAACTTATGTATTTGTTATGTTAATGAATATGTTTAAGTGGAATAATACTCAAAATTACGTGTAACGACAAGTTAAAGAGTACTGAAGAAAAGGTTTAAAATATTTTTTTGTAATACAATATAATTATGTAATAGAAAAGAAAGGATATGGGGTATCCATCCATGAGTCCATGACACAACATCAGTACATGCCAAGCTATATCATACAAGTTTATCTCCTTCAGAAAGTTGCTACATTATGCCAACTGTACTCAAAAAATTAATTTTATACTTCAACTATCTACATAAAGCTGTAAAAATTTTGAAATTTTTCAATTATCTACATGTAAGTGTGAAAATTTTAAAATTTAAGACTCGAAATAGGTTAGTTTAATGTGTATTCAAAGTGGAATTGTCAAAAAAAAAATTCTCAATAATTTATATAAATTGAAGGAATTAATCCCTATAAGCACATGACTGAGTGTCTCAAGTACAATAGATTTTCTGTGTGCAGTTGTTGGTCATTCAAATGAATGGAATATAATCATATTGTTATATTTTTCATTGGAAAATTTTGATCATCTTTCTTGGTGTTCCCAGCTGTGTTTTTATCAACCAATTTTCTCTTTTGACACTTTGGTATTCTACTCTTATATTACACACCACGAAACCCAAACAATGTGGGGAAAAGAAACATTTTACTCATGCAATATATTAAAAGGTTTACATTTTAAAAATCTAAATCTAAATTGTATGAAAAGGTTGGGGAACAAAACACCAGTGGCACTGCCTATAAATTAAATATTGAAGTGGACCCCCCAGAGGACATCATGCCAAATTAGCACATTCCTTTTTCAAGATTCACCATGTTCAGTGAACCATGAAATTGCAGACAAACCCGTATTTTCTTTAGTGTTAAAAAACCTTTCATTGATTTAAGAAATGATTGTAATATTTTTTTCTTTCTATGAAGAAATAACATCAAAAATGTGGTGCACACTGAATAAACCACCCACGATGCACGTTACTTAAAAGTGTTCAGGTGTAGGTTATTTCGAATAGACAGAAAACATATTACAGTCATTCCTTATAAATTTAATTTAAAATTCCAATTTTAAGGATTAAATCATGAAAAAACGTTGAGAACATCACGGTCCCGTAACAAAATTATGTCTATGAGTTGAAAGACAATACATTTTAGCCAACCAAAAGACGTGTACCCAAAATTAAATTATTATGCAAAAGCCTTTGAACAAAATAGTTTGTAGTCAATTTTACCTAGCTGTTTAACTCTTAAAACGTTCTACAAATACTATACAAAAAACAAAGAAGTGTTGCTGCCATGAATAAAATCGAGATCATTAAATAATGATAAACAATTATAACTGGTGGATCTTGTCATAATTATACATGACTTTGTATATACTACTAGTGTTCAGCATGTTAAATGAGTGTGTATTTATTAAACAGAATGTTAACATAATGATTTTATTCTTCTTCTTTATCAGGTTTGTACATGCTATATTTGTCTTATTGAATATTTTGAACGTGAGATTTCTAAAAGTTGGTTCAAAATAGATTTTTGCAATAAAGCTAATTTAATGTCACTCAAACTGTGGTCTGACAATCCTGCATGTTAAAAATATCCTACAAAATTCCACCTTACTAAAATAGCAGTATTAACATTTTCTATTTTTAAACATGGTTAAGATATACATTGAAAAATACTACAGTTAAATTGAAATTCTAGCCCTTTTATGATGAACTGTCAGGGGCGTAGCTAGGCTAAAATGATGTGTACTCAATGCCGGGGAAGGGAGTCATACGGCAAGGGGGAGCGGCCCCCATGCAGAAGCTCTGGGGTAAATGGTGCAATATCTTGCATTCTCACGATTATAGAAATTTTATTGTTATTGTCATGCTAAAGGTGATGGGTAGTAATTTTGAATTGCTATAAAAATGTCCAAACTAAGCTTTCATACAATTTTTCTTTCGAAAAATCTTCCATATTCATAAGAATCAGACATCATTTGAATTAAAACATTTTATATTCAGTTAAATATGTGTGAAATTCAAATTTCTGACCAGTTGAACAGTTTGGTTTTATAAAACAAATTGCAATTTGTCAGAATTTTGAATAAGTTGCAATAGGTTGAGAGCAACACTCACAGTCAAGTCATCAATTGATGTTGATTGGATATCAAATACAATAGAAATATATAGTGCCACCACATGTTTTAATTGTAAGCTAATCAGTCTCAACCCAATCAGAAAATCCAAATTCCAAGCCAACACCGTGCAACTTAAAGGGTATTTTTTTTACATAAATAAATCGAATCACATATTTGAAATAATATCTATAAAAGTGATGCAGGCGTGCCATACATTTCTGTAAGTGCAGTCTTTCTTAAAACTTTTAATTCTCAAAGTTTGTTCTTAAAAACAAGGACCATTTCCTTTCCTTTCTTTTATTGAATATGTCAAAAACCGTGTGTGCTGAATGATTTGTTTTTCACGGTATATCTTCTATAGACCAAGCCAGATAAACGCTTGGTTTTCATTGTATTTCTCAAGTCTTCTCATGGTACTGAAAGACCGTTCTGCCGTTGTCGTCGAATTAAAAATAAACGGCGAAGACTTTGCACGCAAATTACCCTTAACAATCCCCGTTAAACTTAAATTTGTCTGGACTGTTTAAAAAATCTGTAACGACGAAGTATGGAAGACTATACATACCTCACAGGAACATCATAAGAATGAATCGCTGCCCATGATCTCTTTAGAACGTCATATTTTATTTCATCAGTTATTTTGAAATCTTCAGAAAAGATGTCAGAGTAAGGAGGCATAGTAGACGTAACAATTGTGTTCTGAAACCCCGAAAACTCAGCTATTTTTATTGTTTGCATCAGCAACACAATATATCACGATGCTGGTTCCGTAAATGAAAAGAGTAGACTAGTTTCCTGAACGGAATATAGCTACAAAGTGCGTAGCTACTGCGGTCGTATCAGGATGCGCTCAGCGAAGCATTTAATTTTAAATGGGTTGAGCCCCACTCCTAGCATTTGTAATTCGTAAGTTTCTAAAACTAAATGAAGTTGGTTAATACTCTAATTAATCAATCAATAAGAACAAATTTTGGCACAGAAATTATCCGAATATGATCTCTACAACACCTTAATACAATGTATATATTTAATGCCTGCAGATTTATATATATAAAAAATGGTTCTGCACAAACACAGTACCTGGCCCAAGATAGCTGCTATAAGTGTAAAAGTGTTATGTTAACTGTCCAAATTTAAAAACCCTAGATTGTGTGTAAATGAAAGGTAAAAAAAAATGTCCATTTATCAGTAAAATAAAAAAAGAATAGATAAATAAATACATGTATTAAAAAAAATTAAAAAAAAAAATGCTCATGTTATGCTTTCTTTTGATCATGAAGAAGCCTTTATCCTAGTTTCGTAAAAATTCAATGAAGGTTTGACAATATTATTGATGTTGATAAAATCTAAACAACCGACTTAAGGTAGATGATTGCAACAAAGGAATGTATGATGACTATGAATCATTTCCTATGCTAGACAAAAATGTCACACTGCAAGGTTACATTTTGTGTATGGTAAGGTTTAAATATGTTATTAATTCTAAATATGTTGAATGCAGTTAAGATTAAACTGATTATTACTGTAATTTCCTGAAGTATCAAAATGTTAGCAAATCTGTATTAGTCATTTCAAATTGTAATTGTTCTTATTTGTCAACTTATTTATATCATGACCCGAAACACCTTTGATCAATAATCCAATCAAACAGAAGCCAAAGTGGCAATCAGTTTCTACTCTTGACATTATTCAATTATATTTGAAAATTCCAAACTTGATACCCAGGTAAAACTTCCAAAATAGCAGATTAGGATATCAAAATAATTGAAGAGAAAATTTAAGACTGAATTATGCTATTTATTTTATATGATTTATCTGTATTTCTCCAATGAAATAAGAAAGTGATCTATGGGGTTTATTAAAAGTCATATATTTGTCTTAACTGATGATCAACAAATAGCTTATGTGCAATGCATGTTTTTGATTTATCCAGGAAGGGTTGTGTCAAAACCGGTAAAACCAAAAAATTGTGACAGTGGAGAGAAGTATCTCATTGGTCAAATCAAAAATATGTATATATCAGTTAACTTACCATTGACACACTACTCTCCACCACCAGCACTAACTAAAAATCCATGTTAAATTACTTAAAATTAAATCAACTAAGTCTTAAAAAGTTCAAACTTTCAATTGTTCAAGGTCATACTTTGCAATTCAATTCATTTATATGTACCACTATTCAACTTATGCATGCAAGGACACATGCATTGCAATGTCATTTTCAGAAAATTCACCAGGAAGATAAAACATATGCTTGTGCTGTTTATATACTAGAATGTGGACAATTTTTTCGCCAGCCTACCTACCAGATCACTTTGTCACTCAGAGGTTTATCAAGTCATATCATATGTGCGTCATAAGGACTTCAAGGAGTAGTTACCATTGCACATGTGTTATTTTTGAATTAACTAAAAATAGAAAAGGGAAAAATTTACTTTATTTTTATCACAAAACGTGAAGTATTGGAAAACCGCTTCAAAGGCGTTATTTTTCTTTTATCTGCATTTTCCCTTTTCTTTTTTTATACAATATAACCAATGCGCCCATTTCGACAACCTCAACATGGACTTTTAAGGAAATTATATTAAACATACTATATACAGTGTAAAACAAAAGTACCACAAAAAATAAAGAAAAAAAAAAAAAAAAAAAAAAAAAACACACACACAATCAAACTATAATATTTTCCATTGATTCTCTCTTAGTTCTTTCAGTTTGATCTTGTGATTAAGATTTTAGGAGGGGTCCTACAAAGCACCATAATTTTAAAAAAGGATAGCACTGGCAAACGGGTACATGCATGTAGCACAGCAACGGTAACAAAACCACTTTCCATGGGTGATTTTCAAGTGTCAGCTGTCCTAGTCCCCTACGAAACATTTTGATAGTTAACTCGATGGAAGAGTTTTGACTTCGATTTGGAAATTAAAGGTACGCACATGCGCATTATCACTGATCTTTTAACTCGAGTCAACCAGAGTTGGACGAATCGAAGTGGGCCAATAATTGTACATTATTTTGATGATCGCCTGCCGGTTTTGCGGTGCTGGAAGACGCAAGTAACGGGATGCGGTAAATAGTTGAATGTGACTTCCATCACCACGTGAACAAAATGTAGGCATCGTCACACATCGATCGAAGCCTTCAACTTCTTTAGATGGCACGTGCATTTTGCGAAGTGAATATCAATCTTAACATTTATTTCTGGTGAGTGTCCTCTGTTTTATCAAAAATCAGTTCATTTATCAGATATCGTCCAAAAGTTCAATAGTTTTGACTTTCTTCTGAAAATGATATTTTATATTGCCACTAAAATTCCGATAAATTCAGTAATAATAGAATTTGGAGGTGGTCGGCGATTTCTTACACGGTATAGAAACTATAATTTCTTAAACAGTTAAATGTTATACAGGGAGTAACAAACTGCACGTGTACTTTATATAAAACCGACCTTTTCAGTTCTCTTGAAACATCAGGGCGAATGGATACGATCATGCACCGCCGAGTTGTTGCAAAGGAACATGATAGTATGAATACAAGAAAGATAATTTTGCATTTTTATTTTTTTAAACATTTTAAATGAAATAGGCTGTTGTATCATTTGTTCTGTTAGCTAAAATAAGTTGCCGTATAGCTAATCAAGGTAAACAAAAACTCGGGGTGGGGAGATAACTAATTTCAGTTTTATGATATACATTTTGTACGATGAAATCAAGAAATTAAGGACAAATATATTACAAGGTTAATGCTAAGTATCTGAAACTTATTCACGTCGACTCGATACTTCTCACAGTTGCAGATAAAACCACTGTCGTAAATTACATCAGATATATATTTGCCAAAACTATTTATCTTCTATAAAGATAGAGTAATAGCTATACATGTGTAGGTATATTTTTGGTAAAAATATATGTTGGGGTATGTATTTTTGTTAACATAAACATGTCTTCAATATAAAAAAAAAGAGAAATTTAGACATCTAGAAACAAAAGACTTCTGTCAAAGGATATATAAACAACTACAGGTCACTGGAATATAATCGGCATTTATTACTTTGACTAAATAAATTTAGTGATGCATTTTATGAGTTCTGATGGTACATGTAGTAGCAACTGTATAAAACAAGAAGATGTGGTATGATTGTCACCAAAAAAAAAAAACAGGTTTTTTTTTCTGTTGGGCTTTTGGCCTTTAGACATAGAAAATTGCCGAAAGCTATATCTCACCCCATGTATTGTATTACCTGAACCAATTAACTACTTTTGTCTTTAGTTTGACCCGGCCGAGGACCGAACCCACGACCTCTCGCAGGCTACTATGAGACCACAATGGCTGTTTCAATTAAAACAGGAACATTTGTTTTATTATTGTTAACTTAAAAACTATAAAAACGTTAATTTAAGTATTAAACATAAACAATTATTATATTTATTTATGTTTTATCTATGGTATCCCCAATTATATTCATTTCAAATTTAAAATATACCACAGTGACACTACATGTATGTTCATACTTTTCGTCTACTTGATATTTTAAGCAATACATGTTTTCCATAAAAACAATTACATATATATATTTTTTTTTGCCTTTGGCTGCATTACTTTACGATTTACAGTCAAATGACGAAGCGTATATATTAAACCACCACCACCACCACCACCACCATCCTTATCATCATCATTCATTTTTATTTGGAAACCTCAAAAGTTAAGTTCTATCATTTATCATAGTATATTTATCTTCATCAGTAGTAAGAACCACTCCAGGACCGAACCCATCGAGAGAAGACAATTTGGTTACTGAAGGCTTTTGGCAGACTTTTACACGGAGACACAACACCACAAGGTAATGCTCTTATTATATGCGAGGGTCTGAATGAGGTTTATAGAATAGAGAATAATGAATAAGGATATGGGCAAAAGAAAAGGATAGAAAATTGGGTGTTAAATTATAAAGAACAAATGGGATGTGGGATATTCTGTATAGCCTTTAAAAACTTTCTACTAGATGGCGTTGATATACCTTTTCATTTTTTTTTCTCAGGATGTTTTTAAACGATGACAAAAAAGAATACGATTTTACCGCAATTTTTTATCAAGCTGATAACAAAACAAATGACCTTAGGATTATCTGCTGAACCATAAAGTATGATAACATGCTAAACAAAGACATGCAACCTTGCAAACTTTTCATAATTTACGGATAAGCATCCAAGGCTGATGTTAAATTGGTATAATCTTGTTATTTTTCTTCTTCTAAGAAACACAATCACAACTTCATGGTTGTAAAATGTAATAACAATATACACGATGGAACGCCATAGAGTAAGATACATTCATACAGTCAAAAGTATAAGCGGTTATAAGCAATGTATACATTCTATTCAACATTTTATTTAATACATATATGATTTGCATATCAAGAAATACTTAAATTTGATTGGTCCGTTAGCATTTTTTCCCTCGGTTTACACTTCGATAGACCATGTTGCCGAAACTATTTTCATTACCTTCATTGTGATTTATTTATGTGCGATACAGATGCATGGGATCAAGGGGTTCAAGCAAATTGAGATTGAAAAGACAAATACATAACTGTTATTTCTATTCTAATGAATAATACACTAAAGCTTGAAAAATATATTATAAATTTACAATAAAATAAAATTCCGCAAAATGTCATGAATGAACTACGCGGGTTATTCAGTGTGCACCACATTTTTGCTGATGTTATTTCTTCATAGATAGAAAAAATATTACATTCATTCCTTAAATAAAATGATAAATATGGTATTGATATTACTTTCAATAGATGTGTCTACCTTCCACAAAGTATCGACAGTGACACGGACAGAAAATCGATCAGCGTTTTTCATACACTATATGCAATATGCCAGTATACATGCCCGAACAACCTACACAACCGATATTATGTTTAGTGTTGTATTTGATAATAGAAGTAACCGCAAAATGGGAACAGTTTAAAAGTTGTCCAAGAGGCCAAGATAGAATTGAACGTCAGAGGAATTTATGCGGTACTGCTTCATTGTATCATTGTATTCCTGATGATAACTGCCAAATGCATCAATTTTGTACTGATCCACAAGCATCACCGCCAATAGAAACACTCTATATTGTCAACGATTCATTACATTTTGAAAGTATAGAAAATATTCCGTCAACAAATACGGAGTTGTATGGGGATTTGACCTTATACTTCTGCCAGTACTTTTCAGAGAAAATTTCAAACGATGAATTATTCAAATACATCATAAAAAGGCTAGATATTGAATTTAAGGGTCGCCCTTTGTTCAAACTGCCTTGCAAATTTCCTGATGATGAACATATTATGCCTACATTGGATACTTGCAAGATACAAAGTAAATGCTTTCAAACAAGAAAGATGAAGAGCTTCCGACTATTGACTTTTAACAATGGGACATTGGTAGCACACGAGTTTGAAATAGGTTTGTCAAACCGAAGTAATATTTATACGGTAGGTTTTCTACTATGTGTTTTAAACAATAACACGTTGAACGAATACATATTCCGTGCAGAAAGCATCTCCACAATGAAAAACAATGCGCACTACTATGGAATAGTCGTTGGAATTCTTGTCATTATAATCATGATTATATTTGCAATCTATGTCAGAAAGAAGTGTTGTCAAAAAGAGGATGCCGGTACGGGATGTACAACAGATCCTATGTTGAGCACCTAGTTGAACAGGTCGGGAAGACTACCTTATATGGATATGCATAAATTAGCATACTTATGTTCTCTCACATGTACATTTTTATGTAATTGTTTATTTACATATGACGCATTTTTTTTACCTGCGTTTTTGACCAATCCATTAAATGAGTAACAATGAGTTTATAGATTAAGGAAGAGTTGTTTCTATGCGAAGAAACGAGTGTTTGAATTACCCGAAATATAGCCCTTACTATGATTGATGATTACACGAAGATTTCAGATATTCGTCCACAAGACAGCAACGAAACAACGGAGAAAAACACAATTACCCATAAGATAAACTTTCATTCAGATAGTTAAAAAAATAAAGGATCCTTGAATATTGGGTTCGTAAAAAAGGGGAAGAATAATCGAAAAATTGCTACCTGTTAAAAACTTGTTTTACTTAACATTTTGTATGTTTTTTAAAAGCTTCAATATATTGATTATGATTTTTCATATATTGACAGTTTTGTCCAATATAAAAAAATAAAATGTGTACTGATAATGTAATGACCAAAAATCTTGGAGCTTGTTATAACTAATGTTATGACATTGTGTAGACGAAGAAGTTATGACTTTCATGGTTCAAGCACGAAAAGACAGCTTCGATGGTCTCGTGGTAGCGTGTTGGCTTCCAGTGCAAGGGGTCTTTTGTTCGAACCTAGACCGACACACCGACTATGATTTTACATGCTAACATGTTTCCTGCAGACTGTTAACTTGTTAGCTATCACGTTGAAAATCAGACTCAGTGTATTGGTTTTATACAAAGCAGGGTTAATATTCATATCGCATTACAATGTTCTCGTCTTAAATATGCATTTAGTTTCCTATTTGATGTTAATCCTTTCAATTTATTTGACAGGAAGAATGTTGAGTTCGACTTTGATTTCAATACCCATTCTTTAGCATTAACATTTTATAATGACTATGTCAAGGTGTTTAGAAATTGCAGAGTCATATCCTACATTTTAAAACAGAATTTTCAAAGTACTGACAATTCTTTAAATGTAGGAAGTGATTGTTTTGAACTTTTACATAATTTTTAAAATAAAGTGGGACTCTAATATGTAGAATTTAATGCTGCTTTTTAAAAAAATATACGAAATGAAAGCAAGTGACCATCACATTCTGGATTCAATTCTCATATTTACAGATTTTCGAAACACAAAATTTTGAATCTGAAAGTAAAACTTCAAACACAAAACTTCTGCAGAAAATGTCTAGTGAGATGAAAGCAGTATCATTTCAATTAAAATCAATTATTATGATACGCCATATAGCTGAAATTGCAATATGGGGATGTCTATTCGAAAGTACATAATTATTATACATGTATGTTTGCCGTATAGGTTTTGCTCATTGTTGAAAGCCGTACGGAGCCTTTAAAATTGTATTTAATTGCATTCAGTAATATCACTGTGGCATGTTTTTAACAATTGAGCAGCAGTTTGCTAGTCATTATAAAAATCAGTGCAAAATATATTAATGTATGTCTCTCATTAAGAAATTGGTCTAATGGTTAAGTAACGATTAGATTTTTGTACATGGACGTTAATGTTTTTTAAGAAAATACTAGTCTAATATTTGTATACGTAGTCTTTTACTAATTTTTTTCACATTCTTACACGAAAACAGCTGTCACTACCATTAAATTATACATTGTCTTTTTTTTTTTTATTATTGTTTTTTTTATCATGC